CCCCCCAGCCCCGGCGCCGCGGGCCACCCCGCGGCGACCCGCTGCGCCGCGGCCCCCGCCCACCACACGTCGCGCCGCCGCCACCCGTCCTCGTCCCACCCCGGCCGCACGATCTCCTCCCAGGCGACGGCCCCGGCGCCCGCGCCGTCCCCTGGCGCAGCGCCCCGCACCTCCTCTTCCGGCAGGTCCCCTGGCGCCGCCCCAAGGTCAAACCGCGTCTTGAAGCGCCGCCACACCTTGACCCGCACGCCGCGCGCACCGGCCGCCTCTATCAGCTCTGCTGGAAAGTAGCCAAGCCGCTGCGCCGCCCAGACCACGGTGTCCAGACTCAGCTTCACGAATGCGCGCTGCCCGGGCGTGTGCTGGTCGAACGCGGCGCCGGGCACCGCCTGCAGCTGCGCGGCGGCGCGCGCGACCGCCGCCTCGACGAGCTCGACGTGGCGCGCCCCCAGGCGCGCAAGGGCCCACATGAGGTGGCACAGCTCTACCGGCTTGAAGGACGCCAGGTTTTCCAAAGCGCACGCGCAGAGCTCCGAGGTCAGCGCGGCCGGCGGCCGGAACCCCGCGCGCGCCAGGCCCTTGAGGCCGACCGCGACGTGCCCCGGCGCCAGCCGCCGCGCGCGCGCGCGGGCGAGCAGCACGGCGCACGCGCCGGGCAGGAGCGTGGCGGCGGCGGCGCCGCCGGCGCCGCGGAGGGCGCCGAGGGCCCAGATCGCGGCGACAAGCTCCTGCGTGCCGAAACGGTCCAGGCGGGCGGCGGCGGCCGCGGCGACGGCTTCGATGACGAGCGGGTCGTTGTGGCTGAGGGCGCCGTAGCTGTAGAGCAGGATGGAGGTCTCCTGAGGTGATCGGCGGACGAGCGGGCAGGGGCAGCAGCTGGACGATTGGGTTGGGAGCCGGCCGCGACTGTGGATGAGTGTGGGGCGCGTGCGCACATGCCCGCGTGCACACAAGCATGAACGCATTCTACTTGGTTCGAGGGCCATCAGCAAGTTGGCGAGCAGCCCGTTGCGTGCTCCCGCTCCCTCGCCCCATTGCGCACCCGTGGCTTGAACGCGCCCAGCTGCCGCACCACCGACGCCCCCAGCCGCCGCATCAGCTCCTCGCGGGGCGCAAACCCCAGCCGCGCAAAGCCCCACAGCAGGAGGGCCATGTCCAGCGGCGCCGCCGTGTCGATGCTGCGAAGCACCCGGTCCTGGATCCGCAGCAGCGCGCCGGGCGCGTTGAAGCGCAGGCGCGCGTACGCAAAGACCACGGTAGACAGGTCCTGCAAGGGCCGGGCGAGGGTGCACGCGAGCTGCATTTCTGCTCCGACAACAATCACCCTACACGTCCATCCCGCTCATCGCCCACAGACGCGGCACCATGATGTTGCACACCCTTCCGTTACGCTGCAACGCCGCTAGCAGGCGCCGCCCACGCACACGCGACTGGCACGACCGCAACCCAGGCGGCGGCCGCTGCCCCTGCCCCCCCCCCCC